ATGTTAGATCTAACATGTTTTCTAACATGTTTTCTAACATGGTCTAAAACACACAAAACTCATGAAATTTCATACGGAATTCAGTAAAAATAATGTTTATGTTAGAATGTTAGATCTAACATGTTTTCTAACATGTTTTCTAACATAACTATTTACAAGCGTTTTACATGGTATATGTTGCGATGGTTCATGACTCTAAACAATTTCGTAGCTTCTATTTCTTCTGTCAGTATGTCAAAAGTTTTAACGATACCGAAAGTTTCTTTATACTTCTTCTTGACGTCAGATAGAAGGAAATCGTCAGCAGTTGGATAGTTTTTGTTCAGAAATTCTAACATGTTCATTTTATCTTCTGCTGGTTTTTCTGCTTCTTTCTTTAAATCTGCATAGTCGTTTCGCATACGTTCTATCTCTTTGACGGAGTAGTTATATTTCCTCATTGCTGCTTTACATTTTGAACATTGCGGGTTCATTTTAGCGTTATATTCTGAAACCTTACCTGCTAAAACAACTAAGGCGTCAATGGTTTTCTTCATCTCGAACATAGCGGGTCTTATTTGTTCGTTCCATACCTTACCCCTACTATCTTTATCTCTTATTTCCCAAACACATTTTGCAACTAATGAAACAAAGTTGTCGTAGGTCTTAAATTCTTCGGATTTGTAAAGGTCAGAGATGTTCTTATATACCATGTCGCAATCTTTGTCCATAACCTTATGGTTGCAATGAAAACCAAGGAATTCATAATTTACCTTTCGTATGAACTTCTTTATTTCTACTGAGTCAGTTGCTTTGACTTCTATTTCGTCAAATTCGGGAATGGTTAGTTTTTGTTGTTGGATTTCAGGCAATTTGGGTAAATGGTCGATGAGGTCCTGCATTTCATAAAGATACTGTTCATTTGTTTCATCTTTCGCACTACAGTCTAAATTACTTGTTAAAAGTTCTTGCTTTATCTTCTGGATTTTTGTTTCGAAAGTATATGAAGAAGGAATGAAGTTTTTCATCTCTACTAACATAGATGTTGGATTCATAACTAGCGAGTTTGGTGCTGTAGTTGTTTGAATTGTTGTTGTGCCGATTGTTGAAATCATGTCTTTTATACAAAATAAAAAAAATAAATAAAATAAAACTAATTTTATTTTTTATTTTTGGTGTAAATTTCATGAAAATTCAAGAGTTTTAGACCATGTTAGAAAACATGTTAGAAAACATGTTAGATCTAACATTCTAACATAAACATTATTTTTGCTGAAAAAGTGTCATTTTTTTCATGTCAGAAGACTCGAAGGTGCAACACTTCCAAAATACCGACGAACTCCGAAGAGCAGCATGGCAGTATGTTCTTGACAACTTCTTTGAGTTCTCCAGGAACACCTTGGAAAATGCTGAAGAACTCCGACACAGAGAATTTGGAGAAATTGCACTCCAATACTACCTTGACAAACAAAGGGTAAACAAAGGGTAAACAAAGGGTAAAATAAGACTAAAAACTTAACGTTTAAAAAGTGACATTTTTAATGAGCTCCGAGTCACCGAGAAAACTTGGTCAGATGTTAGCAGCTTACTTCCCTGAGGAGGATGGAAGCGTTACATACATCAGGTTCAAAAACAACGAACCTGGAATTGCGTACAAAATTCGCAATTACATGACCATGGAAGAGTACGAAAGGTTTCTACAAGAGAAACCAGCTCTAAACAACTCAGAAAAGAAAGAATAAAAAGTTTTAACTCGTAATTGTTTATTTTTTTACTTGTATGGGCAAGCTGCAAGAATGAAGTCGACTATCTCAGTCTTGTTGTTTTGACCAGTTGGACTGCTCTTGCGAGTACTCTGTTTTGCGGTCTCCAGCTGGTGTCTGACCTTCGTAATTGCGCATGTTCTTGAGAGCTCCAACTGTAAATGGTTGTAAGGATGAAGAGTCTCTCAGACTGCTTGAGGTAGTCTTCACGGACGGTCACGAACCGAATCTGTGGTACGATCGAATCGGTCGATTTGAGGAGAGACTGAAAGCCTGTCTTCTTCCATTGGGGTAGTAGCATACTCTTTGCGTAAGCGGTTCAGACTTTCTCGAACTCTTGGTCTCTCTGGATTGAGATTGGAATTGTGGGGCAGGGTTTTGCATAAACATCCAAGGGTTGGGGAAGTAAGGCATAGGCTGAGGAGGAGGGTAGTTCGGAAGCCTTGTGGTAGGTAGTAACCTTGAGGTGGAAATGGTAGTAATTTGGTGGAGGGACTTGCTGGAACTGAGGTTGCGAGGTGCAGGGCTGGTGCTTTAGGTTCCTCTGGTTTGGGAATGGGCTCGGTTGGTGGTACTGGACATCTGTTTGTGGCTTAACCGTCGGAAGGAAAAACCTTTCTGTCGAAGGAAAAACCTTTCCTGTCGGAAGAAGAACTTTTCCTGTCGGAAGGAAGAACTTTTCTGTTGGAAGGAAAAACTTTTTCTGAAGTTCGACCAAAAGTTCTCAATTTTCGAAAATTTGAATGGTTTACGGACGGACAACTGGAAGAGTCCTTCCTGTCGTCGGGAAAATTTTTTTCCAGTTTCGGGAAAATATTTTCCTGTCGGATGGAAGGACTCGGAATACCAGAAGGATTTGACGAGGCAATTTACCTTATAGAGATAAATGAAGTTGTTAAGCAGTACTTGCGCAGGTAATGAAGCCCAAGGTCAAGTTCACCACTATTTCTGGAAGGTCTACACTTCAGCTCGAGACTTCGACTGGAATTCAATTCAAATACCAGACGGGACAGCCTACGATGGCATAAAGGACGCCAAAAGAGAAGCTTGTTAAGTTCCTAAACAAACGTCCTTGGATAAAAATACCAAACAAGAGAACCCCCTACCACCATATGAAAATTGGCAATTCAGTCTCTCCTTCACTTCTCGGTCAGCCGTCTACATAACCTGTGAAGGGCGACATCCAACCAGTCAGTCAACCTTAACGTTTTGAGTAAAAACATTTTTTTTCATTTTTTGAATGAAGCAAGTTAAATTCGTCCCACACCAATCTCAATGGACCGATGAAGAGTTCAAGCCATGGTTGAAGGCGTTGAGAACGACATAGACGGCGAACTTGAAGGAGCTTCAAACCACAATTGCAACCAAAATTGCAGAAGTCAAGGAACAAATAGCTCCACTTAAAGCTACCAAAGCTACTCTTGACTCATGGATACTTACCGTTTAGAAGTAAAGAGTGGAATAAGACAATTAAAATTAAAACTTCTAAACTACGAAGCTATACTCCAAAAGTTAGCAGAAATGAGAGACTTTACAGAGCTACTTACATGTAGGGACTTACCTTCAAGCAGTCCGACCAAAGATGAATTTGTTGACATGTCCCAATTTTGTCCGAAAGTCAGCTCAGATGTTTCGAACTGCTCCAACATATCCAGAAATATGAAAATTTGCCTGAACTCTTCCGCAATCTCAAAAAACGTTTTTTGGTTCTCATGTTCGAAACTTTTATCGGAAGAGACAACAAACGTTCAGAAGAAGAACAAGATATTATTTTAAACTTGTTGTATGACTTAACCGTCATAACAAGCTTTTTGAAGTAAAACCGTCATTCTCAAACCACTTCATTTTTTCGATGTCCGAACAAGCACCGAAGCCGAACACAATGGCAGATGTCCTTTCAATGTTGCCAGACAAGCGCCCAGTTCAAATTCAAATTTTGAATTTGAAAGCTATCTGACAAACACCGTTAAGACTCTCCAAAGTAGTCTTATGGAAGAGATGACCAAGCTCAAAGCCGATGTCCTCATGAACCAAGCTTCCAATGAGAAATGCCTGAATGATTTGACGGAAACCTTGCGCATTTACGCGAGAGAGAACCGAGACCTTGCCAGACTCATCTACCGTTTCTCTCGAAGAGATAGACGCCATCTGGAAGGTACTCGGAAAGGACAGAACCTCCAACACCGTAATTCGTGAGTACCAATTGAAGAAGGAATTGTCGAGGAAGAAGAGGAAGAAAAAGAAACACGAAGAAGAAGAGGAAGAAAGGAAGAAGAGAAACACGAAGAAGAGGAAGTTTGGGCAACCCTTGTTGCGATGACGCTTACGAAATTTCCAACCCTACCCATACAAATCCGCAACAAGGAGACAGGCAAGGTTCTTACCCCAGTCCTCAACAACTTGGGACACTTGAACCTTAACCTTCGGAATCGCGGTTCAATCTCCATGGGCAAGCTTGTCGCAATTCAATGGGTTCCAAATCCAGACAAGAAGACGAGGGTCAGACACATTGACGGTGACAAGCTCAACAACCGTAAGGAGAACCTCGAGTGTTCTAAGAGTAAAAAAATTTTATTTTAGGGGAAACCCGAGTAAATTTAGGCGTTTATTTGGATAAGTATGTGAAATTAAGGTCAATTTGCAAAATTAGTTCCCGACCTCTGAATTGGACTCTTTCGTCATCCCAGTTGCGTAGGAGGTCGTCCCAGAGAAGTTGGTAGAATTGCCAATCCAAGGACGATTTGTCCTCCCAGGCATTGAGGATGTACTGCTCGTAGAGTCTCATGACCTCTCCCTTGCACCAGACACCCTCTCCCTTGGAACGTAAGGCTTCTTCGAAGTGCTCGAATGCGATTGGCTGCGTGACCATCCGAAATGACAACTTTTTGTCCGTTTGGTCAATGTTTGTGTCCGTGCCATAGTCGACGAAAATACAGACAAACAGGTTAATATGAGTTTTGAGACCAAGAATGGTGTAACTCGACCTGTCCGATTCAAATTCGAATAAAAATTTTTTATTTCATGCAATGTTAACTATTTCACCATCTTCTTTAACACCCCAGTACTTCCTTTTCGATATTACATGAACTTCGGTGAAATTTTGTCCAATTTGAATTGACCCATCTTTTCACCGACCATGCCCATTTCAATGAGTTTGTTGTACCCTTCTTCGTTCGTCATGAGTGCGTCAATGTTCTCATAGTAAACCTTCACTTTGGATTTGACTTCGGAGAAGAATTTGTTGTAGTTGTCAAGGACTGCCTTTGCGAACTGAGGGTAAGACCAATGTTCGACAATAGGTTTTAATGTGGTTACTAAGCCACTTTGACCTTGAGTGAATTCGTACTTCAAAACAAAAGGAGAAAACCTTTCAACAAAGTTGTCGACCTTCTCATAATGTTTACTCTTCATCTCTTGAGGTTTCTTAATGGAATATCCCCATGTCGAATTCATAAGCAATTTGATTGTCATTGCAAGTTTGGGGTTTGAAGCTTTCCTAATATCATAGAGTTGTTGTATGACTTTTCCAACTGTATAGTTCCTTCCTGGGAACTCACCGTCTTCGTTTGGAATTCCAGTCGGGATATATTGGACGAACCTCATGTATGCAGCGTTAAGGTCGACATAGTATATCTTTTCATCTGAGTCGAACTTGTTGCAACCAATTGGTCCAGTTCGTGGAAATTCAAGTGAGTCTCTTATCTTCTGAGAAACTTCTCCTGTTATCTCATAAACATCGTCGAAGCAACCTGTTTCATATAAAACCTTCTGACCTAACTCAGATGCTCTCCAATACAATTTGACGTCAATCGGATGTCTCAATGGAAGTTTGTTTATAGCATCTTGAAGTTCTTGCAACCTCATTGGAAGTTCTTCTGGTTCAGGTTGGTATCCGAACAATCCAACTCCTTGTGGAATTGTGTACTTCTTTTGTACTAGAACTTTGTCTGGAACAACTTTTGGTCTTGCTAACAGTGAAAAGTTTGTTTCGTCTTTTGGTACAAAAGTTTCTGTCAGCTTGTCATCTGGAATTGGTTCCAACAAACCTTTCTCGAAAAGAATGTTTACAGCTCTGACAATGTTGCACTTGCCTTTTCCGAACAATGGGTTTGTAAGACTTTCGTTCAACATGAAGTGGTTGTGGACAATTGCAATCTTCAACCATGGTAAATTGAACTCAACAACATAGTCGTCATGTGAAGAACCTTTAGCTGTAGGTATGTTGACTCGGATATTGACATTTGCCAACGGTGCAATTTTTGCCAATTGACCTCTGAGAATGTACCTTGTCTTCACACATGACTCAAGATACTTCATCTTCTCATCTGTAACAAGACCAGAGTTCCTGAGACATGTAAGAATACAAGGTTCATTGACAATTGTTTCAATTGAATTGTAAATTCCATACCTTGTCAAGTCAATGTCAGACTTATTTATGAACGGGAAGTATCCAGCATGTTGTCTGACTGCTTGAGGGTTAGGTTGGTACCATTCGAACTTGACACTTGCAATTCCTTCAATTGCATTCAAAATGTCTGAGTCGGAGTCAACCATTTGTTCTCTCTTTGTAGTCTTGAAAGCGTCAAGAAGCATTGCAGCTGTTGTGACATTGCCATGTGCATAGTAAATGTGACCATCCAAATCTGTTATGGTCAATCTGAGATTGTATCCTTTCTTATTTCCGTCTTGTATGGCAGCAAGTACACCCATGAAGCCTTCTTTGTTCTTTCCTTCGTCAAAGTTTACTGTAAAGGTTCGACCAGATGTAATTTGACTTCTAACTTCACGATACTTCTCATATGCATATCTTGTTCTTTCCATGGGAGCATGTGCGTCTTCACCTTTTCCTTTTTTCCTTCTCAAAGGATGCAATTGTTCGTCATGTTTCCAGTAGAATCTGGCAAAGCCGTCGTGTCCTTCAACTTGAGGTTCACTAACATCGAAAGGCATGTCCATAAGACGTTCTTCTTCTAACCTCTCTAATCTGTTTGGATAATTGGCACGTGCTGTTTCCAAATCCATTTCGTAGCGAAGACCAGACAATTTGTCATAGACTTTTATGGGTCTTCCCTTCCTATATTTAAACTTCTTCGAAACTCTCCAACCATATCTTTCTAACTCTGCTTTTATTCTAGCAGACCTTCTGTCCATTCTATATGGGGGCATTTTTATAAAAATAAAAAAATATGTTTTTTTTCTTTACTTTACATAACCGCCTGCTGCCATAAGTCTTTGACGCCAACCCATACCAGCTAATGAAGGTTGACTTGGTTTAGTTTGGAAACTAAACTTTGTTTTTGGTTTATCTTCAGTTTTTGGTTTTTCTTCTTCTATCGGTTTTTCGTCACTTTTCGGTTCCTCTGACTTTACTTCACTTGCAGGAACAGTTGTGTCGTCAACATCTTCATAAATATCATATGCCATTTGTTTTTGTTTTCCTTTCAACTTTTTGTGTTTGTTGTAAAGTTTAGAATATTTCGACTCTAAGTCAATGAGATGTTCTATAATGAACTGTTGGTCAGTGAAGTATACTTTCCCATCTGTTGTCTCGAAAGCTCCTTCAGACTTCAATATTTTATTTGTGAGAGTCTGTTTCTTTTTTGAGATACTAGCCGTTCCATTTCTATGAAAAGTGACTTTATAGTTAGGGTTTGTATTTCCAGACCTGGCACTTTCTATTATTGAATTTTTCTCTTCATCTGTAAGTTCTTTGACAGTTTTGACAATGTTCTGAACTTTTTGTTTGTGGTGTCAAATCTACCGTTTCAACTTCTTCGGTCATTTCATCTCAGTAAAAAATTTTAGTTTGGTTTGTTTTCAACTGGTTGTTGTTGTTTTTTAAGTCGCGTCTAAAACTTCCTGAGGTATAGGAAGAACTTGACAAACACGTTGTGTAACTGCTGGAAGTCGACAAATCCATCTTGAACCCATTTGTCTCAATGCTGTATTGTTCATTTCATCTCAGTAAAAAACTTTACATTCCCCAAGTTTGAGGTGGTTGCGGTTGGTTATTGTTTACCCACTGTTGTGCATGGTTATATCCTCTGTTAAAGAATCTTTCACCTTGGTCCATATAGTGTCCTGCTTGGTTATAGTAGTCATTTGCTTTGTTATAATAGTTTCCTGCTTGTCTTCCTACATTGTCCATCCATCCTTGAACTTTTCCTCTTGTTTCAGGATTTGGAATAAGATTTGCTGCATCTCGTGCTACATCCCAACCTTTCTGTACAGTTTGTATAATAGGTTGTGCTTTCTCTTTAAGTATACCTAATGTACTCAAAATCTTCCTTCCAACTCCAAATACACCTCTGGCTATTGTTCCCACTGCGGGTAAAAATCTGGATGCAATCCTGCTAATGCGCCAAATAAACCCATTTCTTATGGGTTAAAAAATGACGAATCCAAACAAGGACCCCTATGTTTCTAAGGCAACAAAGAAAGCACTCATGATAAAAATCTTTAGTTCAACACCAAATGCTTGGTTTATGGATATCTTGGAAAACATTCCGAGAGTTAGAACAGATGGACCACCATACTGGCTAATATTTGTTGGTCAAAACACAAGATACTGTGAAGCCATACCATTACAGTCCAAAAATATTTTAGATATCTTAGCAGCTTTGACAATATTCGTTGACAAATACCATCCAACAAAACTGACATCTGACTGTGAAAGTTCTTTCAAATCAGATGATGTAAAAAACTATCTGCGTTCAAAAAATGTAAACCAATATTTCATTGTCGACCAAAACCATTCTGCTCTTGGTGTCATTGACAGTTGTATAAAAATCTTAAGAGACTTAAATCAACCACAAGGTGGTGAAGCAAATGAAATGTCATATGACGACAAATATAGACACTTCTCCATGGCAAAGATGAGACAAGTTTTAAATATTTACAATAGCCGTAAACAAAAAGGTTTGGGAAACCACTCCCCCGAAGAAATGAAAAACAACCCTGACTTAGAGAAAGACTATATATTTAATAGTTTAGTCAAAAGAGACAAACAAGAAAGAATGCCAGGCTTCAAACTTCAGAAAGGTGACAAAGTAAAAATAGAAATACCTAAACGCGACCCATATGAAAATACTATTGACTATGACAACAATGGGAACCCGACAGGTACTCACATTCGTGTTCGTAAAAATAGAAGAAAGTATACAAGAGAATATTATGAAGTTTTAGGCAAACATGGCAAAATGTACAGACTGCAAGCAGAAGATAAAACTACTATTGTCAGACCTCGTTTCAAACTTGTCAAAGTTCAAGGTGGTATACTTTCAAAGACAGTTCCTAACAAATATAAGACAACTCCTGACGAATATGCTAAAGAAGTTGAAAATGACGACTAAGCAATTCTATACCATGCGTAAACTGTCATGTAAGGTGGCATGTAGTCTTTACTTTGTCCTGTTGTTTGCGTATATCCTGAAACGAAATGTGTATGGTTTCCTTCTCCCTGCGTGTCATCCCAGTAACAATTTATAGCAAACTTAACGTCGTCTTTAACATCATATCCTTTACCTTTTGTCATTCCTGACCAATCCCAATATCTATGCCTATGCCAACCTGCTTGAGATGTACTTAAATCTATGTAGTGACTGTGTGCAGGTAAATTTTCACCTGAAATCGTTTTACTTCCACCTGTTTCCTTTGAAGAGTTTGCACAATACAAAAACCTGTCGACTATTTGTTCCCATGCACCAACACCAAACATTACTTGAGGACCTCTTGCTTCCATAGATGTATAAATAGAACCTACTGGGTTCATTAAATCAAACATATGAGACATTATAGGATGTCTCTTTTGAACTTAAAATATAGTGCAACTATTTCAGGTTTCTTCTGGTTTAAGTCAGAATATTTTTTATAATATAATCTTATGTTTTCAGGGTAGGTAAAGTCTTGACTATAATATTTATTTCTGTCATCTTCATAATAGTATACTATTCTCGTTTTTTCTATTGCATTATATCTTTTATATCTATAAAAATCTAAATATAATGTTAGCTTTTGTTCATCTACATGTGGTGTTCTGTTGTCATCTCCATAGTCATAATAATATGGTGCTGGAGCTGGGTCAGGCAATGTCATATCTGCCATTTCATAAACTCTTAAATATTTCTTTTGTTCGTCTCCATATAAGTTTAAGTAGCAGTTGTTGTCTAATGGAACTTTAACTTGTGTACCATCGTTCTTTTTATAGCTTACATACATTTCATTGTTATTTTTCGGAATGAGTTTATACCGTGTACCATTTTCTAAGGACTGTACCAACTGCCATCTAAAATATTTGTTTTCTTCATTGACAGAAAGTCACCAACAATAGTTTCAATATTTTTTGTTCCAACTAAACTTTGGTATATTTCATTGACATATGTTTTATCTGCTTTATTTTCAAGGCTAACGTTTAAGTCTGTTATTTCAGAAGATGTATGTGTATGTCCAACGTCACTTTTCCTGTTTAAGGTTTCTTGTAAGTTTGCAATATTTGCAATGGTATGTGTATGTCCAACGTCACTTTTCCTGTTTAAGGTTTCTTGTAAGTTTGCAATATTTGCAATGGTATGTGTATGTCCAACGTCACTTTTCCTGTTTAAGGTTTCTTGTAAGTTTGCAATATTTGCAATGGTATGTGTATGTCCAACGTCACTTTTCCTGTTTAAGGTTTCTTGTAAGTTTGTTATTTCAGATATAGTATGTGTATGAGTCTTTTTAGAATATTCGTTTTCAGCTCTTGTCACTTCACTTGACATTTTATTGTCAACATATGTTTTGTCTGCTAGTTCAGGATGAGTATGTTCTTTTGTTGCATAAGCTTTGTTAGCTCTTTCTTCTTCTTTTGCTATTGCATCGTCTACATATTCTTTGTCAGCTTTGTTGCCAACATCTGCTTTCAAAAGAAGTTCATTTATAGGTTTCTCGTTTAAAGTTCCTTTTGTTGGATTTATACAGACAGTATGGTTCTTATTGTCTTGAAACAGAAACTCATCTGTCATTGGGTTTAATGTCAGTTTTAAGTTTCCTTCTTTCAATGACTCAGATATCTTAGAATAGTTTGAAAAGTTTGTTGTGTTCTTATTTAGAGCTTGCATAATGAGTTGTCGGTTGTGTTGTATTTCTCTCATAGACGCTGTTTCATTTGACATTTTTATTCTAGATAAAATATGCTTTCAATAGAAAAAGAAAATTCTAGAGTTGCTACAACTAAACCATTAGATGAACTTTTTACGAATGTCGGTCAAAAGTTTGAGACAGAGACCGTAAAGCATGAAGGCTATCGTTTTGACTACCCGTTAAGATGGTTAAGAGACCCATCTGTCACAAAAGCTATTGGCTTTCGTAGAATGAAGTTTGTGTCTGTAGAAGATAAAAGTTTTCCATTTATTGTAAGGTTTCATATAGATTATATATCTGAAGGGAAACGAAAAATGTGGGAAGAAATTGAGCTAATACAAGTTGACCTTTCATCTTCTCTACAGACTGCGTTAAAAAATATAGAAGATAAAATAAATTCATGTTATGCAAAATATGCTGATGAATATGCAAATACCGAGAGCACACTTTATGTGAGAATTGTATATGACAAACAAAATTCACAAGTGTCATTTCAAATCTACGAAGACAATCCAAAGAAAGACGAACAAATATATACAGAATTCACTGCAATGTCATGGTATTATTTGCAAAGAATGTTAAATCAGAAAGTCGAACTTCCTTTAGCAAATATTTACAGTCGATATGCAAGAGATGAACCATATTTATTTAAAGATGTTTTCGACCCAGCTGCTATTATTGTTCATGCTTCATTTTCTGGCGCCCAAAACTCTTTCTTATGCTTGGCAAATGACTTTTACGAAAAACCTACAAAGTTATACGAACCACCAAGTGGAAGTATTTCAGACTTTCAAGTATGGTTTACTACAGATGGAAGAAAAAGAATAATTCCATTATACCATGCGTTTTACTTAGAACTTAGTTTCATATACAACTACTATCGAACGGTAAAAATATAATTTTTTAATACGGTTGAGGTGTTGGATTTGGTTGCCAACTAGACTGTGGTGCAGGTTCAGGCTGTTGTATAACAGGAGCTTGTTCTTCTGGTTCAGGGTCTTTAGGTATAATACCAACAAACTGACCTACCCTTTTACCAATATTTTTGACTCCGTTCCAAATTCCTCTTCCGACAGATTTTATTCCATTCCATATACCTCTTCCAACATTTCGAAAGAAGTTTCCTATTCTTCCAAAGAAACCCATTTTACTATATGTAAAAATCTAATGTCCGCCTAGTCTCTTACGTTTCCTGTTGAGTTCCATAGCATTTTTTAACTGGAGCTCATACATTCTGTTTCTCCTCTGGTAGAAAACATATTCTGGGTCAACTCCTGTGTTCGCGTCATCTGCATAAAGTTGTTTATATCCCACTTCAGGGTTTGTATAAAACTCTTTCCATCTCATATTTGCATACCATGGTGGTAAGCCTAACGCAGCGTCATTTGACATGGCAGTTTGCATTTGTACATCTGTTGGCACTTGACCATAGTTTGCCATTGCAGTTTGTATTCTAACTTCATTTGGAATATTCTCTGGGTTTGGTTGTCCAGGTTGCTGTGCATTCGCTAAGTTCTGTGCGTCCATTTAATATTAGATAAAAATATCTCTTACGAGTACATATGCTGAACATTTGCTGGTATTGGTTCATCTTCATATTCTCTATATCTTTCTGCCACGTCAAATAAGTAAATGACACAATGGAAAAAACCTAAAACAAGTAGTCCTATTTCAAACCACATTTACTTACCAATAAAATTTCTTTGTTATGACACTTTCTCCAGTTTATAGGACCTCTCTCATATTCTATCTTATCGTATCTAAACTCATAGTCATGTATGTCCTCTAACCATCTCATGACACTTTCCAAACCACTTTTATCGGATGTAAAGTAAAAGCATGGATGGTTATGTAAAACGTCTAAAGTTTCTAAAGAGTCTCTCAAAGTCCAGTCTACTTGGTATTGAAAATCCCATGTGTTATAGAACGGCGGGTCCACTATAAAGAAAACATTTTCCTTGTCTTTATATTTTTCATACAAATCTGTCCAATGACATCTCACAAACTCTATACCCTCAATATATTTTTCTATGTCCTCTTTGAAAACATTTGTATAGTTAAGATATAAAACTTTTGACATAAGTGTTTCAATGTCATGAACTCTTATAGAACCACTATATAATAGTCTAGCAGATATACTATCCCAGTCTATATATTCTGCTTTTTTCAAAACCTCTCTCACAATATTTTTCTTATCTAATGGTATACGTTCCATCTTACCTATAGGTATCTTTTCTTTTAACTCTTTCAATATATTGTTTGTGTCTGGTATATGTTTGAGACGGTCCATATAGTTGTCGAAGTCATTGCATATAATCTTTGAGTCTGGAATATTGTATGACATAAATGGGATATATAGAAACTTCCACCGAACAAATCTACAAATGTTAGACCATTCGGTAGTTTCTTAAGTTCTCTCAATATAATATCTTTACATTTACTCTTATTTCCAAAGAACGGTAACGGTGGTTTTGTAAAATTCATTTATATATAATAATAAAAATGTTTTTACCCGAAAAGTGACAGAAAAGTGACAAAACATGAAAACATATATAATTTGTGAAAAGCGACACATTATATAATGTTTTCGACCCAGAAGAAGGCTTCTTCCCAGAAGCAATGGAGGAAGAAGAAGAGTCCTCCGAATTCACACCAGAAGACTAACAATTTTCCGAATAAAAACTTCATTTATACTAAACATCTTCGGGGCTAGAGGGCACGAAGTGCCTGGAAGCCCCACTACCTTTTTTTTAGATTATTGAAAAGTTGAAATTTTTCCAATAAAAGTTTATTAATGACA